TGGGGGAAGTTCGTGAGGCAGTAGTAAAATGAAAGGGGGTAAGGCAGCCGGATTGATGGGATAAAGATAGAAATGTTAAAGCAGGTGGGGATATAGTTTTGGAGTGGTTGGTGCAATTATTTAATAAATGTATGGAAGAGGGTAAGGTACCTAGGATTGGCAGAGAGCATGCATAGTTCCTTTGTATAAAGGCAAAGGGGATAAAAAAGAGTGCAAAAATTATAGGGGGATAAGTCTGTTGAGTGTACCTGGTAAAGTGTATGGTAGAGTTATAATTGAAAAATTAAGAGTAAGACGGAGAATAGGATAGCAGTGAACAAGGAGGGGTTTAGGAAAGGTAGGGGGTGTGTGGACCAGGTGTTTACAGTGAAAACATATAAGTGAACAGTATTTAGATAAGGCCCAAAGAGGTCTTTGTGGCATTTATGGATTTGGAAAAAGGCATATGCAGGGTGGATAGGGGGGCAATGTGGCAGATGTTGCAAGTATATGGTGTTTGGAGGTAGGTTACTGAAAGCAGTGAAGAGTTTTTACGAGGATAGTGAGGCTCAAGTTAGAGTATGTAGGAAAGAGGGAAATTTTTTCCCAGTAAAAGTAGGGCCCTTTGACAAGGATGTGTGATGTCACTTGGTTGTTTAATATTTTTTATAGATGGGGTTGTAAGAGAAGTAAATGCGAGGGTCTTGGCAAGAGGGTGGAGTTAAAGATAAAGAATCACAACAAAGTGGGAGTTGTCCACAGCTGCTCTTTGCTGATGACACTGTGCTCTTGGGAGATTCTGAAGAGAAGCTGCAGAGATTGGTGGGTGAATTTGGGTGGGTGTGCAAAAGAAAGAAAATTAAAGGTGAAACAGGAAAGAGAAGGTTATGAGGATAACAAAAAGATTAGGTGATGAAAGATTGAATATCAGATTGGAGGGAGAGAGTATGGAGGAGGTGAACGTATTCAGATATTTGGGAGTGGACGTTTTCAGGGATGGGTCTATGAAAGATGAGGTGAATCATAGAATTCATGAGGGAAAAAGAGTGAGTGGTGCACTTAGAAGTCTGTGGAGACAAAGAACTTGTCCTTGGAGGCAAAGAGGGGAATGTATGAGAGTATAGTTTTACCAACGCTCTTATATGGGTGTGAAGCATGGGTGATGAATGTTGCAGCGAGGAGAAGGCTGGAGGCAGTGGAGATGTCATGTCTGAGGGCAATGTGTGGTGTGAATATAATGCAGAGAATTCGTTAGTTTGGAAGTTAGGAGGAGGTGCGGGATTACCAAAACTGTTGTCCAGAGGGCTGAGGAAGGGTTGTTGAGGTGGTTCGGACATGTAGAGAGAATGGAGCGAAACAGAATGACTTCAAGAGTGTATCAGTCTGTAGTGGAAGGAAGGCGGGGTAGGGGTCGGCCTAGGAAGGGTTGGAGGGAGGGGGTTAAAGGAGGTTTTGTGTGCGAGGGGCTTGGACTTCCAGCAGGCATGCGTGAGCGTGTTTGATAGGAGTGAATGGAGACAAATGGTTTTTAATACTTGACGTGCTGTTGGAGTGTGAGCAAAGTAACATTTATGAAGGGATTCAGGGAAACCGGCAGGCCGGACTTGAGTCCTGGAGATGGGAAGTACAGTGCCTGCACTCTGAAGGAGGGGTGTTAATGTTGCAGTTTAAAAACTGTAGTGTAAAGCACCCTTCTGGCAAGACAGTGATGGAGTGAATGATGGTGAAAGTTTTTCTTTTTCGGGCCACCCTGCCTTGGTGGGAATCGGCCAGTGTGATAATAAAAAATAAAAAATAATGCACATTTACTTCTCCCACATGAAACCTGCCGAGTTATTTTTGAATCTGGGAACATCCTTTGCAATAACTTGTCACTTGATTTGAAAAGTGGTTCCTAAAAGTTTTAAGAGCCCTGATAATTTCTGCCTCAAGAACTTCATCCTTACAAATAAAAGATCTCACGTCAGCATGGGTTTCTGTATGGAAGGTGGAGGCAGACTCTAATGCACTGGCTTGTACATGATGAGTCTCTGCTGGAGGTGGAGGAAAAAATTAGCAGTTTCTATGTCGGGAGCCATTATTTCCCTGAATTCACAGCTGAAGCTTGAGAAGTGGTGTGAATTTCATGAATCTCTAGATGGATTCTTTGTTTTTTATTTATCTTCGGAGTTGGCGCTACCTTTGTCTTGTACTTAAGTCGTTCAACATGGGACTTTTTCCCATGTTGCCAAGTTCAAAGTCTTTACCACACAGAAGACATCATGTTTTTCTTCCTGTCAGATCCATGTTAAAGCTAGCCAATGTTAAAACTGAGGATCCATCAGCCCAAATAAGCTTACCCTCAATACAGACAAAACCTATTTCATACAGTTTGGAAACAGAGCTGCAAATGTTCAACCTAAGATAATGATAAACAAATCCACCTTAACAGTAGCCTCAAATTCCAGACACACACAACAAATTTCTAAGAAAATCTCTAAAACAGTAGGCATACTATCAAAGATACGATACTATATTCCACAATCAGCTCTCCTTGCGCTTTATCAATCACTCATCTACTCTTATCTCACATATGGTATTTGTGCATGGGGATCAACAACATTAAATCACTTAAGACCACTAATAACCCAGCAAAAGGAAGCAGTCAAAATGATAAATGCCCACTCCCAACAGTATACTCCACCAATATTTAAAAGTCTAAAACTGCTCACCGTTAAGAACATCCAAACTTATTCATGTGCCTATTACATCCATAGAACACTGCACTTAAATATACACCCTCCACTCAAACTTCTCCTCACCAACCTTAACAGGTCACACGACCATAACACAAGACACAGATCTCTTTTTGATGTATCTAGTGTCCATATGCACATAAAGGGCCCCAAAATTTGGAATTCATTACCAGTAAATACTAAAGTAACCAAGTCTGAACACCAATTTAAGGTTCTTCTCAAAAACGACCTACTCGCCCTAAACTAAATACTCAATATTTAACTTTACCAAAAATCTCCCAATTACCTAAATCTTAAAACTTCAAATCTAGATCCCCAAAGTTCATACATTATTAATAACACATTGTAGTATAAATACCTGTCCCCCAAAACAATACCGCCTTACAGCCAATTGTAGCATTCTCGTACTGTAAACTACTTTCAACAACTCACAATGTCATATTCCCATAATATAAGTTCAATATTTATTATTGAAACTATTGTAATTAGAGTAAAATTACTGTCTACTATAAATAAAAAAAATGTACAACTAAAACTTTGATCAATTTCATTAGTATTAAGTAGTCTATAAGCCATAAAAATTTAAAACTATCCATTTAAAGCCTAGGCATGATAGTGGGAGGAAGGAGGAGGAGGAGGAAGGAGGAAGGAGGAGGGAAGAGGAGGAGGAGGGAGGAAGAGGAGGAGGAAGAGGAGGAGGGAGGAAGAGGAGGAGGGGGAGGGGGGAGGAGGAGGAGGAGGAGGAGGAGGAGGAGGGGGGGAGGAGGAGGAGGAGGGAGGAGGAGGGGGAGGGAGGAGGAAGGAGGGGAAGGGGGTAGGAGGAGGGAGGAGTAGGAGGAGGGAGGGGGAGGAGGAAGAGGAGGGAGGAGGAGGAGGAGGAGGAGGGAGGAGGAGGGAGGAGGAGGGAGGAGGAGGGAGGGAGGAGGAGGGAGGGGAAGAGAGAAGAGGGAGGGAGAAAGGAGGGAGGAAAGAGGAGGGAGGAGGAGGAGGGTGGAGGAGGAGCGAGGAGGAGGAGGGGAGGAGGAGGAGGGAGGAGGAGGAGGGAGGAGGAGGAGGAGGGAGGGAGGAGGGAGGAGGAGGGAGGGGAGGGGAAGGAGGAGGGGAGGAGGGAGGAGGAGGAGGGAGGAGGAGGAGGAGGCGGAGGAGGAGGAGGAGAGGAGGAGGGAGGAAGAGGAGGAGGGAGGAGGAGGAGGAGGAGAGGAGGAGGGAGGAGGAGGAGGAGAGGAGGAGAGGAGGAGGGAGGAGGAGGAGGAGGGAGGAGGAGGAGGAGGAGGAGAGGGGGGGAGGTAGGAGGAGGAGGAAGGAGGGAGGAGGAGGAGGGAGGATGGAGGAGGGAGGAGGAGGAGGGAGGAGGATGGGAGGGGGAGGAGGAGGAGGGCGGAGGAGGAGGAGGAGGGAAGGTGGCGGGAGGAGGAGGGGAGGAGGAGGGAGGAGGAGGTGAGGAGGAGGGAGGGAGGAGGGAGGAGGAGGGAGGGAGGGGGAGGAGGGAGGGGAGGGAGGATGGGAGGAGGAGGAGGCAGTGTAGAAGTTGTAGTATAGTAGTAGAGGAGGATGGAAGCACAATCAATAACAAAGAAGGGGAGGCACTGCAGGAGCTAGTGCCCACAGAGGGAGAGCAAATGCACAGAGGTGGGGGGAGGGGAAGAGAGATGAAATAAATAATGAAGGAACAGAACACGAGACAGGAAGGAAAGAAAGACAACCCTGAGGAGAAAAAAGGAAGAGGAAAAGGGGAAGGCTGAGAAGGAAGAAAAAAGGAGGAATCAGTTGAGTTCTAGGGTTTTGATTGGAAGTTGGAGCATTTTACAATGTAGTGGGAGAGGAAGGCATCTACAGAGACGAAGCCAGGGCTAAGGTTCATACAAGGAAAGTTGTGTATTAGAGAGGATTCAACTAGACGGCGACTGTTAGAGTTGGAAGTAGGGAAGACAGTTTTAGCAGAACACCAGTTAATAGGATGGCTATGATCTCTGACATGACAGAACAGAGCATTGTTAGTGTCACAGTATTGTGCCTTTTTTTTTGTTATTTACAATCCCTTTATTTTGTGCTTACTGTTTTATTATGTGTAAACTATATTTTTGTACTGCATAAAATTAAATATAAATCTGAATTTGAACTGTGATGTTAGCACTCCTCTGGTAAGACAGCAGTTGAATGAATGATGATGATGAATGATTTTCCTTTCTCCTTTTTCTTTTTTAGTCACCCTACATAGGTGGGACACAGCTGATGTATTAAAAAAATCTCAAAAGGGCACCCTTCTAAATACCATACTATACTAACCTTGACCACACCTTGTTTCTTTAACATGTTATAAGCTTCTAGAATTTTGGGCTCTGCCTTCAGGTCAATGGTCCAGGTGTAGAGAAGCTCCACAACCTTGGTCTTCACCATGATGTGGGTGTGGTTCCCCAGATATTTTGGCGACACTAATTTGATCATCTCGTTCAAGAAGCGAAATTTACCGATCTCGGAATGGAAGGCAGGGCCACAGTTGTTGACACAGGCTTGTAGAACCTGTGTTGTAGTTCATGAGGATAAAAAAAAAAAAGTTAAAATGATGAACTACTTGTTCAGTAATCCTTGTAAAACAGTGGTTATTGTTCAAACGAAAACCAAACATCGTTGCAACATTAATAAAAGTCTACCTTCCTCCAATATTTATTTTTATTAATTAATTTATTATTATTATTATTATTATTATTATTATTATAAGAAGGAATTAAAACAGTCATACAACATTTGGGGAATGGGAAGTAACCAGGATTGATCCAAGAAAGGTCAGAGCAGCTCCAATTCCTTGGATAAAGAGCCCTTCATTGGCATCGAGGCACCCCTTACCCTGAAAGGATCATACACGTACATATGAAAAAGCATGAAATAATACAGGCAGAAAACAAACAAGAAAAAATACAACAGTATAGGTCCACATTCCTTTATCTGAAATTCTGAAATTTGAAAAGTTCCGAAAACCGAAGTTTTCTCGTGGAGTGTGGAGCATCATCTTCTCTACATAACTCCAATGCCACCAGTTGTGTCTCGGGACTTGTAGTGTTCAAACATGTGTTTGCTGTTCGCTGATACATGTACAGGTCTCCCTCAACATTCGCGAGGGTTAGGGGATTAAGAGCCTCGCTAATGTTGAAAAATCGCGAATGTTTGGTGCCCCAATATATTGTAGGGAAATATAATACAATACTGCTTAACTTGTTGAACCATGAACAATCATAAAATACATGAGAATGTCGTAAATTGTACTAAATTCATATATGTTATGGTTTAATAACATGTATGTTATTAAATACCACTGTCTCCACCACTGCTGTCGTGTGGGGTTCAGTAGGAGATACGAGGGTTGAAGGTAAACACCTTGTTGGATGGTAACACTATATATTGTCAGACTGTGGTAAGGAAGGGATGAGCCCAGCCTGCCATGTAAATGCCTGGATGGATGTCTAAACGCCGACTGAGAGCGGGGCAGCTCGTCTCACTCGTTCGCTGCATCCCGTGACGTCATACAGTCACAGGCCTAAGGGATCTTCTATATAAACACATGGATGGTATTATGATACTCAGCTAATCTATATAACACATATAAGGGAGGATCAGCAACTATGCTGACAGCACGGTCAGGGTTACATATGTGTCTCGACATACACTACTATGCTATAGGACTGAACAGGCAGGTGGTTCTGGGCGATGATTCTATACAATAACAAATTCATATTATAACTTAGAACTAATGGATGGTATCATACTGGATGTTAACAAAATGAGTTTTACGTAATGGGTGTTAAGTAATCACTTTTAACGTTTAATGAGTTTCTTGTAATGTATTAGAATTATACGAAATAAAATAATGGCACATTATGGATGGAAATTGATCGATCGATCTGTGATTCGTGCCACTCTACGGATTCTGAGGAAGAATAAATATATTCAAATTCAAATTCAACTTTATTCTCTATAAGTATTACAATGCTGAGTTTACAGAATTTGGTTATTGTGTGGTTTACATGTATAGTAAAATAATAATTACAGAGTGTACCACTAGAACGCTAGCATGGCTAGCATTTCGGGCAGACTTATATTAATCTTAGGTTTTAAAATGTTACAAAAATTATTGAGGTAAGTTGGTTTTATGGACTAAGTGATAAATACCTAGTTGTGAGGTTTAGCCAATGTGAATGCTTTTGTTTTGGCACTATACGTAGTTTCAAGTATGGAGTTCACAGGCCCAACTTATGACTAGTTAGGATTATTATTTTGAATTGAGATTGATATTTCTGTTTATGGTCAAATGGGTGAGTGAGTGTAATGTGATGAACCACCAGTTGGTATTCGTATTATTAGTTGACAGGGTGTATCAGGGAAGATAGATGTTTTCTGATGGTAGTTTTGAAGGTGATGAATGTGTCTGCAGTTTGAATTTTTTTCCAGGTAGGGTGTTCCAGATTTTAGGGCCTTTGACATACATTGACTTTTTGTAAAGGTTTAGTCGGACACGGGGAATGTCATAAGATGTTTAGTGTCTGGTGGTTGTGCCTGTTGGGTTTCTGTTCACAACTATCAAGAAAGCGTTTTAGGTTCAAGGTTAATATTGAATTTAAAGTCTGTAGATGTAGATTGCTCAGTAGTAACCTGGAGTTTACCGTGGAGAGAGTTTGGGGGTCAACGGCCCCCGCAGCCAGGTCTTGTGGACCAAGCCTCCTGGTGGATCAGGCGCCTGATCAACATGGCTGTTGCTGCTGGTGCACGCAAACAACGTACGTGCCACAGCCTGGCTGATCAGGAACTGACTTTAGGTGCTTGTCCAGTGCCAGCTTGAAAAGACTGCACAGGGGTCTGTTGGTAATCCCCTTATGACAAATGGTGCTGGGAGACAGCCTGAAAAAAAAAAAAAAAACCCCAATAGGGGTCACTTTTCGGGCCCCCTGAGACACTTATTGTATGTCTCTTAACGTTGCTAGTGACACCCCCTGCTTTTCATTGGGGGATGGTGCATCGTCTGCCCAAGTCTTTTGGCTTTCGTAGTGAGTGATTTTCGTGTAGCAAGTTCGGTACTAAGTCCCTCTTAGGATTTCCAGGTGTATATAATCATGTATCTCTCCCTCTGCATTCCGGAATACAGGTTTATGAAGAAACCTCAAGCGCTCCAGTAAATTGAGGTGTTTTATCTCCGTTTTGCGCGCCGTGAAAGTTCTCTGTACATTTTCTAGGTCGGCAATTTCACCTGCCTTGAAAAGTGTGCTGTTAGATTTGCAGAAATTTTCCAGCCTAGATAGAACAAGTGCCCCTAAAGAGTGTCATCATGGGCTTGGCCCCCCTAGTTTTAAAGGTTCTCATTACCCACCCTGTCATTTTTCTAGCAGAGAATTGAACAATGTTATGGTCCTTAAAAGGTGGTCCCCGAATAATCACCCCCAGGTCTTTGCCTTTGGTTTTTTTCGCTCTTTTTTGGGGGGGGGCCCGGAATTTTTTTTGTACTCTGATGAGTTTTAAATTTCCTCTTTTACCTATCTGAAAATTTGAATTTTCTCGTTGAACTTCATTTGTTTTCTGCAGCCCCCTGAAGATTTGGTTATGTCCCCCTGGAGCCTTGCAGTGTCTGCAATGGAAGACCTTCAGAGATTCGGGTTTTCCCTCTGTAAGGAAAACACGGTGCTGTGGCTGCATCCCTTTTCTTGTCGGTTAGGATGGGAACAAGATGGGACTTACTGTGCCCTTTTGGGAAAAGGCTTTTCACCGTAGCTGCCTCGGACTTTACCTGTTGACGACACTCTCTGTGTTTGTTAGTGAGGAAATTATAGATCCTCGACCGACTTTTCCTGTTATTCCTTTAGCGGCTTTTGTGCGCTATTAGCCATGGTCACACTTGTCGAAGGGTTTTTCAAAGTCTTATATATTTTTTGCATTCTTTTTTTCTTCGTCCATTTAGGCCTTGTCGGTGACCAGTAGTTTGGGCAGACAGGAGCGACCGTTCTAAACCCCTGTTGCCCTGGGTTGTGTAATGATGGGTTTCTAGATGGGTGGGATCTTGTTTTGGACCCTTTCAAAGATTTTTATGATATGGGATGTTAGTGCTATTGGTCTGTAGTTCTTTGCTGTTGCTTTACTGCCCCCTTTGTGGAGTGGGGCTATGTCGTTGTTTTTAGTAACTGAGGGACGACCCCGTGCCCTTTGCTCCCTCTCCATAGGATGGAAAAGGCTCGTGATTAGGGGCTTCTTGCAGTTCTTGATGAACACAGAGTTCCATGAGTCTGGCCCTGGGGCAGAGTGCATGGGCATTCATTTATCGCCTGTTCGAAGTCATTTGGCGTCAGGATAACATCGGATAGGCTTTTGTTAATCAAATTTTGTGGCTCTCTCATAAAAAATTCATTTTGATTTTCGACTCTCAGTCTGGTTAGCGGCTTGCAAAAAAACTGAGTCATATTGGGACTTGAGTAGCTCACTATTTCCTTGCTGTCATCTGTTTAGGACCCATCTTGTTTAAGTAAGGGGCCCAATATGGGCGTTGTTCTCGATTTTGATTTGGCATAGGAGAAGAAATACTTTGGGTTTCTTTCGATTTCATTTATAGCTTTTAGTTCTTCCCGCGATTCCTGACTCCTAAAGGATTCTTTTAGCTTTTAAATTCGATGCTTGCTATTTCTCTGACCGTGTCTCCCTGCGCATTTCAGATATATTGACCTCTTTTAGCCGCCTGTTATTCTTTTCCGTCGCCTGTAAAGGGAGCGCCCCGTCTCTTTCTATTTTACATCTACTCCTCCTTTTTCTTAGAGGAATAAGCCTTGTTCATACATCGAGTGCCACCGAGTTAATCTGTTCTAGGCATAAGTTTGGGTTTTGTGTTTCTTAGAATATCTTCCCAGCTTATATCGGTTAGGACTTGGTTTACTTGGTCCCACTTTATGTTTTTGTTATTGAAGTTGAATTTGGTGAATGCTCCCTAGTGACTAGTCTCATTTTGTCGGTCTGGGGCTCCACGCATACATGTCTGAACCTCAAAATTATGTTGTGATCTGAGTATATTGTTTTTGATATGGTGACATTTCTTATCAGATCATCATTTTTAGTGAATATGGGGTCTAGTGTATTCTCCAGTCTAGTAGGCTCTATTATTTGCTGGTTTAAATTGAATTTTGTGCAGAGATTTAAAAGCTCGTGTGAGTGTGAGTTTTCATCAGAGCTGCCTCCTGGTTTTTATTACTGCAACAATATTATTTGCTATATTCCTCCATTTTAGGTGCCTTAAGTTGAAATCCCAGGAGCAAGATGTTGGGTGCGGAGCTGGAAGATTTTCCAGACAGCGGTCAATTTTTAACAGCTGTTCCTGGAATTGCTGGGATGTTGCATCCGGAGGCTTGTAGACTACCACAATGACTAGGTTTTGGTTCTCGACCTTTACTGCTAAAACTTCCACTACGTCATTTGAGGCATTAAGCAGTTCTGTGCAAACAAGTGACTCTGCAATGTAAGGCCAACCCCCCCCCTTTTGCCTGTTCACTCTGTCACATCTGTATGGGTTGT